AGGGCAGATGCAGCCCCTGAGGTGCCCTGGGAGCTGTGAAGGATAAGGGCACTGGCCTGGAGACCTGGTTCCCCAGCCTCTGCCACTGCCTTCCTGGAGGTGGACAGAGAACTAGTGCCAGGACTTGATTACTGTAGACAGGCTGGTTCCCCTAGCATTGAGAGGCCTCCTGTAGTTTCCTGCCTTCCACCAAGTCTACCGCAGAAGGGCTCTGGACTCCTTGGTACACTTAACGATTGCTGACTCAGCCTGACTCCCCTTCACTCCTGCCCCAGGGACCTAACCCTAATGCCTAGCCCAGCTCAGAATCCAGCTGTCAGCCTCCTCAGCCTCAGGCCTCCCTGACACCTGCGCCCTTCCTGCCTTCCCCAGATACAAACAGCGATGGTATCCTGGATGAGCAGGAGCTGGAGGCTCTCTTTACCAAGGAGGTACATGCTTTCTGCTGCCCAGGGTCAGGCCTTTAGGCTGGTGCTTGGCACAGTCCCTGGCCCGTACTTAATGTGTGTGGACTGCTTGGCTTTAGCCCCCTCTGAGCTTCCTCCTTGCCCCCACTCATGTGCAGCTGGAGAAAGTGTATGACCCCAAGAATGAGGACGATGACATGCGGGAGATGGAGGAAGAGAGGCTGAGGATGCGCGAGCACGTGATGAAGACAGTGAGGCTGAGAGCCCTGGGAAGGGGGTGCCCTGCAGTGACCCTGCCCCGGCTCATGTCTATGTCTGTCCCTTAGGTGGACACAAACCAGGACCGCCTGGTGACCCTGGAAGAATTTCTCCTGGCCACGCAGAGGAAGGAGTTTGAAGAGGCTGCCCCGAAGGGCTGGGAGGTGACCTAAAGGGGACCCAGCTGCCCTGTCCCAAGTGCCAAGCCATCTCTCATGCACTCACTTGTGGCCTTACTAGTCCCCCTGCTTTGTGGGCCTCTGTCTCCTGTCCCTGCCACTTGTCCTTGGCATGAGCATCGGGGCTTGGGGTGTGCTCCTGGACTCCCCCACCAGGAAGGCTGGGTTGGGGCGCCCAAGGGAAGGCCTGCTCTGCTTTACTCTGCCTCCCCCTAGACACTGGAGGAGCACCCAGCTTACACCGAGGAGGAATTGCGACGCTTTGAAGCGGAATTGGCAGCCCGAGAGGCTGAGCTGGCAGCCCAGGCCCAGCGGCTGAGCCAGGAGAGCAAGGCCCTGGATCACTCCCAGGGGCTGCTGGAGGCCCAGAAGAAGGAGCTGCAGCAGGTGCCTGGGCTGGGCTGGGCTAAGCAGCTCCTTCCAGCTTCCTTTGCACATCTCTGGAGGAGCGTGGTGGGCCCCTGAGTCCAGTCACCCCTGCCTCCTATCTCTGCACCCCTCCAGGCCGTCCTTCACATGGAGCAGAGGAAGCAGCAGCTGTCCCCAGCCCCACCAGCGCCAGGCCCTGATGGACAGCTCCTTTTCCAGCCCCATCCAGGTACACCCTGACCCCTGGCCAGGCCCTTCCCTTCTGCCCCCCTGGCCTCCTCTTGGTGCCTGACTGCGTATGTTTCTGAGTGAGCAAGAGCTAGGAGGTGGTGAAGACACTGGTCTTCTGCTGCTCTGCCCCACAGCCTGATGGGAGTTGTGGTTTCTGGAGTTTCTTTGGCCAGCAGATGATCTGAGCCCCTGAGAGGGAGAAGGCTGGGAGCCAAGATGTCTGGGTCCTTATTTTCTCCCTCCCTTGTATTTGTAGAGACAGAAGCCCAAGCAGAGCCAGCTGTGGAAAAGGAGGTTCCAGCCCCAGTCCCTGATTCCGCTGTGCCTGATTCCCAGCCCTAGTGATCCCCAAGGCCACCAATAAAGACTTTCTGGGCACCACGACCACACGTTGTATCTCTGTGCTACAGCTTCGGGGAGGGACGGTGGTTCTGGGGGTGGGATTGGCCCTCTGCCAAACTGTCTCATGTGCTTTTCCTTCTAGGTCCTTCCCCTAACCCACTCACCCACTCCCAACCTCTGCAAATATGCCCTCTGTCTCTCACTGGCTGGCGCTCTATATCTCTCTCTGCCTGATTGGTTCTCTGTCTCTGGCTGGCTGGCTCCCTGTCTCTCTGTCTGTCACTGTCGCTCTCTCTCTGTCTCTCTCTGCCTGGTTGGCTCTCTGTCTCCCTACCTAATTGGTTCTCTGTCCGTGTCTGTCTGGCTCCCTATCTCTCTGTCACTGTCTCTGTCTCTCTGGCTGGCTGTCTCTCTGGCTGGCTATCTCTCTGTTTCTCTCTGGCTGGCTGTCTCTTTGTCTCTCTGGCTGGCTGGTTCTCTGACTCTCTCTGGCTAGGTGTCTCTGTCTCTCTCTGGCTGGCTAGCTCTCTCTCTCTGGCTGGCTGGTTCTGTGTCTGTCTGGCTCCCTGTCTCTCTGTCTGTCACTGTCTCTGTCTGTCTCTCTCTGACTGGCTAGCTCTCTGTCTCTCTAGCTGGTTGACTCTGTCTCTCTCTGGCTGGCTGGCTCTCTGTCTCTCTGGCTGGCTGGCTGTCTCTCTCTGGCTGGTTGACTCTGTCTCTCTCTGGCTGGCTGGCTCTCTGTCTCTCTGGCTGGCTGGCTGTCTCTGGCTGTCTGTCTGTCTCTCTCTGGCTGGCTGTCTGTCTCTCTCTGGCTGGCTGGCTGTCTCTCTCTGGCTGGTTGACTCTGTCTCTCTCTGGCTGGCTGGCTGTCTCTCTCTGGCTGGTTGACTCTGTCTCTCTCTGGCTGGCTGGCTCTCTGTCTCTCTGGCTAGCTCTCTGTCTCTCTGGTTGGCTGGCTGTCTCTCTCTGGCTGGTTGACTCTGTCTCTCTCTGGCTGGTTGGCTCTCTGTCTCTCTGGCTGGCTGGCTGTCTCTCTCTGGCTGGTTGACTCTGTCTCTCTCTGGCTGGCTGGCTCTCTGTCTCTCTGGCTGGCTGGCTGTCTCTCTGGCTGGTTGACTCTGTCTCTCTCTGGCTGGCTGGCTCTCTGTCTCTCTGGCTGGATGTTTTTTCTCTCTGCCTGGCTAGCTCTCTTTCTGTTTTTGTCAGAAGGGACCCACTGGGCATTGGTTGGAGGCTTCCCTACCTTCTGGACACGTTTCCAGCTTGGAGAATTCCAGAAAAGGGCACAACTTAGGACAAGGAAGACTGGGCCTCCTGAACCAGGGAGTTTCTGGGTTTGGCTGCCCAGCAGTTTCTGTGCTTGTCTCAGGGCATCTCCCTGACTCTGTTATCTTTGGTCCACATCACAGCCGAAGGAAGCAGCTTGGGTTTCTGCCATCTTTGCTCATCAGAGACATTGAGAGTCTGGAGAGCAGCCAGAGCTGGGCCTCCAGGATAGGATGGCCTTGAGGATCATTCTGTAGGAGGCTGGGGGGTGGGAACAGTTGGGTGGCACAGTGGATAGAGCACAGGCCCTGGAGTCAGGAGGACCTGAGTTCAAATCCAGCCTCAGACATGATACTTACTACCTCTGTGACCCTGGGCAAGTCACTTTACCCTGATTGCCTTGCTCCCCCCAAAAAATTTTATAGGAGGCTGGGGAAGAGCAGCCTTAGGCCACATGATCTTCCAAGGGGAATTGGAAAGCTGGGCAGGTGGAGGAGGGCTTTCAAGGTTTGGTTTGGTCCAAGAGGGTCAAAAGAAGAGCTGCCTGGGGAAGGGGTGAGCTCCCTGTTCCTAGAGCCCTTTAGACAGGGGCTACCCAGCTATTAGGCCCAGCAGTTGGCAGAGGTGGGGCTTAACTTCAGATATGGGGCCCATCTATCCTGTGATCTGAAGGGCCCTGCTCTACAAGCATTTCAAGCAGAAAATCATTGAGCACCTACTGTGTGCCAGGCACTGCCCTAGGCAGCAGGATGGTTTTGGCCTGGGTGAGCTGAAGGGTGGAGGAAGACCCTGGGAGTACCAAGAGGTCTGGCACAGGGTGAGGTTAAGGTGTAGAGGGAGCAGGTGAGCCTGAGGATACTGATTTGAGCACTATAGGTAGGGCATTGGAGGTGAAAGGTGACAGAGAAAATGTGCAGGGGAGCACTGGAGGTCCCAACATCCCTGATCAACTGAGCAGGTTTGGGGGAAATGGGCATGAGCAGTCCTCAGGCAGGACTAGAGACCCTCTGGGGCATCCATGCTGTGGGACATGTCCAGCAGGCAGGTGAGAGGTGGAAGCCCAGGCTGGAGGGAGAGCTTTGAGAGTCCTCCATGTGCAGTGATAGGGGCCATGCCCACTTCTGTCTCCTTGGAAAGACAGCTTGGAGGGAAGGCGTCCAGGTAAAGTGCCTGGGGGATGCCCATGCAGAGGGGTCCGGGAGGGAAGTTCATTCAGGAGAGGGACAGCAGGAGCTCAACCAAGGGGCAGGGGAGGAGAGGAGGCCTGTCTCGGGAGGAGCCCCAGGAGGAGTGGGGAGAACCTCGGGCTTGTGAGCCAAGGCTTTCAAAGAAGTCCAGAAAAGTCTGGAGCCAAGCCTAAGAAAGAAGCCCTTCCATCGGCCGACTTTTATTGGAGGGTGGGCTGGGGTGGCCTGGAGAGATCAGAGGTAAAGAGCCAGCGTGAACACCGTAAATGAGGGACGAGGAGGAAAGAGAAGCCGGGAGACGATCCCCCAGCCGGTGGCAGATGGAGGGGGCCCCAGTCGAGGGGCAATCCTCGACAGGGAGCTTAGGATGTGCGCTGCTCGCCAGGGCTCCCTGCCCCCAGGCTCCTGGGAAGCTCTCTGGGTTCCTGAGCGTCTTTTTCTCTGTGTAACCTCTTTGAGTCTCTGGCCTTGGGAGTCTTTCTGTTTCTCCTGGGGCCAATGGCTGGCTGATATCTCGAAGGAAGGTCAAAGGTCCTCGGGGAGGAATGGGCGAGGTGTGGCATTCCAAAGTCAGCCAATGAGCAGCCGCCAAGAGGTAGGGATGGGCAGGCTGAAGGGTAAGAGTCCAAAAACCGCGAGGAAACCACAGAGATGGAGACAGTTCTGCGCTGGGGGCTGCTGTCAGCTGGCCTCATCTCCCATGACTTCGCCACTGCCCTGAGGAGCCTGCCCCGCTCCGAGCATCAGGTCCCGACACCTCCCGACGCCACAGGGGACGCCTGGCTTCCAGGGGGAGGCTAGACGTGGGGAAGCCTAGGTCCTCACGGAGTGGACGGAGGGAGGCTGACGCTGGGGGGAGGGGAGCCGGGATCGCCCAGGAGAGTGGCTGGGCTTGCCCAAGACCCCGGGGGAGCGTGGCTAGAGAGGGGACGCCTGAGTCCCCAAGAGGCGGAAGGTAAAGCTGGGAAGGAGGCGCTGGGGTCGCTGCTGTAGATGGTGCTGGGGGAAGGGAGCCGGGGTCTGCTCAGGGGTCCAATTCGCCCGGAAGCTGTGGCTGGGGTGGCCAGGACCCCTAGGGAGCGCGGGTGGGTCCGGGTGGGCTCTGAAAGGGGTCTCTGGCCATAGATAGCAGCCGTGGCCGCCAGAGACCTGGGCCGGGCCCAGGACTTCGCCCGAAGGCACGAAATCCCCAAGTCCTATGGCTCCTATGAAGAACTGATGAAGGACCCTGACGTGGGTGAGACTTGAGCCCAGGGACTTCTAGGGACTGCGGGAGGGAGAGCAGCGAGGCGGGGCTCGGAAGGCGGAGGATATTCTAGGGGGCGGAGACCCAGCGGGAGGGGCGGGGCCCCAGCAGGAGGATCTCCTGAGGGCGGGGCCTGTCCCTAGGCCCCGCCCCTCAGGCTCTAGCCCGCTCGCAGACGTGGTGTACGTAGCCCCTCAGCACCCGCAGCACCTGGGCGCTGTCCTGCAATGCCTGGCGGCGGGCAAGCCGGTCCTGTGTGAGAAGCCTCTCGGGGTCACGACCGCCGAGGTCCGCGAGATGGTGGCGGCCGCGCGGGCCCGCGGCCTCTTCCTGATGGAGGTGAGAGCGGCGCGTGCCGGCGCCCCCCGCTGGTGGAGGTCCACAGCCACAGCCTCAGCCTCCGCAGGGGCCGAGCCCTCAGGGGAGTTGTAGTGTGGAAGGGGCGTGGGGTGAGGGTCTGCAGCGCCGAGGGGGGCTTCCCCGGAGTCCTGGGCCCCAGCAGGCTCTGCCCCTATCCCGCTTGCCCTGCAGGCCATCTGGACGCGGTTCTTCCCTGCCGCCGAGGAGCTGCGGGCTCTGCTGTCCCAGGGCATCCTTGGGGAGGTGCGTCTGGTCCGCGTGGACTTCGGCATTGAACTTGAACAGTTTCTGGATCGCTCCACCGACTGGGCCCAGGCGGGGGGCGGGCTGCTGGACCTGGGCATCTACTGCATCCAGTACATCTCCATGGTGGCCGGGGGCCGGCGGCCTGAAAAAATCCACGCCGTGGGGCTGCTCCATGCCAAGGGTAGTGGTGAAGAATTCGGGGTCTCCTGGGGCTTGGGGGGGGGCTCCCCCAAAGCTTGGCTGCTGGGTGTGAGTGAGGGATTAAGGTGTGGGGAGCGGCTGACCAGTGGTGTGTCCTGCCAGGGGTGGACGACACAGTGACCACTGTCCTGCAGTACCCTGGTGGGCTCCAGGCCTCCTTCAGCTGTAGCATCACTACTAAGCTGTCCAACTCATTCACGGTGTTTGGAAGCAAGGGCGAGGCAGAGGTGAGAGGAGCCTGGGCCCTGGGGTCACCCAGGGCCTGTTGCCAGGGGGCAGAAGGCCTGGACACCTTGCTGAGGCCACTCTCTCCTCCCAGATCCCTCCCTTCATGCATTGCCCCACGGAGCTGGTGGTGAATGGGAAGAGCACCCAGTTCCCATTGCCCAAGGTGGCAGACACTGAGAAGTTCAATTTCAGCAATTCCATTGGCATGGTCTACGAAGCCCAGCATGTGCGGCAGTGTCTGCTGCAGGGTGAGGCAGGGAAGTCCCCGGGATGACAAGGACAGAGGCCTCTAGTGGGGTCCCTGACACTCCCACCTCCTGCAGCGTGCTGGGAGAGCAAGGCCTGCCCTGTTCACGATTCTCCTTCCTTCCCTAGGCCTGAAGGAGAGCCCTGTGATGCCCCTGGCAGAGAGTGAGCTCTTGGCAGACATCCTGGAGGAAGCAAGGAGGCAGATTGGGCTCAGGTTCCTCCAGGACAGAGCCTAAGCTTCCAAACTATGGCCCAAGGAAGAAGTCCCTGACCAGCAGTTTGTCCCCCAGGTTCCTACTCTGCAGCCTGGCCCTGGAAGCTGCCTTGCTCTGGCCCTGAGTTCTGGCCCTGCCCTTATCTATTATGTGATCTATCCCTGCCTTTCTTAGCCTCAGGAGGTTTTCTGGAATAAAGAGTATCCCACTCCATTTGGTCTCAGTATAAAGTCTCCTTCCACTTTCCCCGGGGGAAATTGAGTCCCAGAGAAAAGAAGGGTGACCCTCCAGCTCCATGGTTCTAGGACTCATGCACTAGACAACAGAAAAGAAGCCATTCAGGGGACTGGGCCCAGGCCTAGACCTGGAGTTTGAGTCTCAGCTCTGCCCCTTCTGCATTTGGCAGTTCCTTCCCCTCCCCACCTTTCTGGGCCTCAGTTTCCTCATCTGTAAGGTGAAGGAATTGCTATAGCTATGGCTAGAATTCCTAGCTAAAAAGATAAAGGCAGGGGCTTGCTGGAGGCAGCTCAGGCACTTTGGAAATCTGAAAACACTCCATATCAGGGCTTGATTTATTGTGTGCATGACTGTATAGACTTCAGCAAGTGATGAAGAAAATGTTATTAATGCAGGTTAAGCTGTAGGTTGTGTTGTACATTCCCTCCCCCCAAAGCCTTTACTTAATAGCTTATCAGCAGACCAGAAGATAAAATTGGCAATATACATTACATTCAATTGAAAAGCTTTTGAATGAACATCATCAATGTAGTTGGAGTAGGAAAAGAAACGATTAATTTTGGGGGAAATCTGCCTCAGGTATCTCTGAGAAAAGTCTGACACCCAGGATACATAGAGAGTTGATTCTTTTCACTTGTGGGTTGGGCTACATGGTGGCAGGCTGAGGTTGTTTTCTGATTCTGTGATACAAACAAATACGTGAGAAGAAGAGCCATTGCTCAGTAGATTAAATAGACAGAGAATACAAATGGGAAATTTTCAAAATAAATCCAAGCTATCAACAATTAACCTCCAAATCGCTAATGACAAGAAATATAAATGAAGACAGCTCTTAATATCTCACCTGAAACCCATCAGGTTGGCAAAGATGCGAAACAAAAATGGTAATGATTATCATCCTATGAAAAAATGCTCTAAATCACTATTGATTAGAGAAATGCAAATCAAAACAACTCTGAGGTTGTTTTGGCCTATCAGATTGTCCAAGATGACAAAACAAGAAAATGATAAATGTTGGAGAAGATGTCGGAAAATTGGAACACTAATGCATTGTTGGTGGAGTTGTGCAATGATCCAACCATTCTGGAGAGCAATTTGGAAGTGTGCCCAAAGGGCTATAAAAATGTGCATGCTCTTTGACCCAGCAATAGCACTTCTAGGATTATATCCCAAAGAGGTCATACAAATGGGGAAAGGACCCCCATGTACAAAAAATATTCATAGCAGCTCTTTTTGTGTTGGCAAAGGAATTGGAAATTGAGGGGATGCTCATCAATCGGGGAAATTGCTGAGCAATTTGTGGTATATGAGTGTAATGAAATACTATTGTGCTTTGGGAAATGATGAAGACGCTGACTTCAGAAAAACCTGGCAAGACTTGTAAGGTCTCATTCTGAGTGAAGTGAGCAGAACCAAGAGAATGTTGTACACAATAACAGCCACATAGTGTGATGACTAATGTTGATAAACTTAACCCTTTCCAGCAATATAAGGATCTAAGACATCTCCAGGGGCCTTGAGATGGAAAATGCTGTCCACATCCAAAGAAAGAACTATGGAATTTAAATACAGATTGAAGCATATTGTTTGGTATTTTTTTTCTTCTGCTGAGTTTTGTTTCCTCTTTCTGGTGGTTCCTCCTATTGGTTCTAATTCTTACTTGCAACATCACTAATGTGAAAACATGTTTGATGGGAATGTATATACAGGCTATAGCCTGTATCAGATTGTGTGCCGTCTTGGGGAGGGTGGTGGGGAGGAAGGGGTAAAAAAATTTAAACTCAAAAGCAAATGGAAGTGATTGTTGATAAATCAAAATAAATTAATAAAAAAAATAGTGATGATTGAAGTGTCTTTGAGAAGACAGGCACACTAATGCATTGTTGGTGGAGTGCTGAATTGATGTAGCCATTCTGGAAAACTTTTGGAATTCTACTAAGATCATTCATGTGTACTTACCTTTTAACCAGTGATAGTGAGCATTGTTAGGCAATACCCCAAGAATATCGGAGACAGAAGGAGAACACCCAAATGTACAAAAATGTTTATAGCAGCCCTTTCCCTAACAGAAAAGAACTAGAAAGAAATGAAGTGCCAGTCAGTTGGAGGATGGCTTTCTATGGAGAAGAGAAGAATTTATGACCAAACAAGACAGAGAACATTATGAAACGCAAAGTGGATAATTTTGATTACATTAAACTAAAAAGTTCTTGCACAAACAAAGCCAATGCAACCAAGATTAGAAGGAAAGCAGAAAGTTGGGAAATAATTTTTACAGCCAGCGTTTCTCATAAAGACATAATTTTTAAATATATAGAGAACTGAGTCAAATATATAAGAATTCAAGTCATTCTCCAATTGATAAATAGTGAAAGGATATGAACAGGCAGTTTTCAGAGGAAGAAATTAAAGCTATCTATACTCTTATAAAAAAATGTGTAAATCAGTGTTGATTAGAGAGACAGAAATTAAAACAATTCTGAGGTGCCATCTCACACCTATCAGACTGGCTGATATGACAGAAAAAGAAAATGATAAATGTAGAAGATATGGGAAAATTGGAAACTAATGCATTGGTTGGTGGAGTTGTGAATGGATCCAACCATTCTGGAGAGCAATTTGGAACTAGGCCCAAAGGATATAAAAATGTGCAATATGTTTTGGTCCACTACTAGGTCTGTATTCCAAAGAGATCATTAAAAAGTCAAAAGGATCCACATGTAGAAACATATTTATAGCAGCCTTTTTTTTTCCAGTGGTAAAGAATTGGAAATTGAGGGGATGCCCATCCACTGTGGAATGGCTTGTAATGGAATACTGTTGTGTTATAAGAAATGACAAACAAGGGGGCAGTTGGGTGGCCCAGTGGATAGAGCACAGGCCCTGGAGTCAGGAAGACCTGAGTTCAAATCCAGTCTCAGATAACATAATACTTCCTAGCTGTGTGACTCTGGGCAAGTCACTTAACCCCAAATGCCTCACTAAAAAAAAAAAGATATGACAAACAAGATGATTTCTGCAAAACCTGGAAAGACTTGCATGATGAACTGGTGCTGAGTGAAGTGAATAGAACCAGGAGAAATATTGTAGACAGCAACAGCAACAATGTGCAATGATCAACTTTGGTAGAGTTAACTCTTCTCAGCAGTACAATCATCTAAGGCAATTTCAAAGGACTCCTGGATGGGAACTACTACCCACATCCAGAGCAAAAGCGACGGAGTCTAAATGCAGATTGAAGCAGAGAATCTTCACTTTTTTTCTGTTGTATCTTTCTTCCGGTTTTTCTGTTTTATTCTGATTCTTCTTTCACAACACGACTAATGTGGAAATATGTTTAATGTGCTTGCACGTGTATAACCTGTATCAGATTGTTTGCAGTCTTAGGGAAGGGAGAGAAGAGAGAGGAAACATTTGGAACTCAAAATCTTTTAAAAGTGAATGTTGAAAACTATCTTTACGTTTAATTGGAAAATATGAAGTGCTATTAAGTGGAAAATAAACCAAATTGGATGTGAATGTATTGAGGAATTTATATCATGATTTAACATTTGCAAAATGCTTATGTTATTTCATGGTCACAACAACCCTGCAAGGTAGGTACCATTTTCCCCATTTTATAGATAAGACCCTGAGGCAGACAGAGGTTAAGTGACTTGCCCAAGGTCACACAGCTGGTAAGTGTCAGAGGGAGAAGGGGGAGGGAGGTGAGAAGGGAATGGGAAGCAGGCATGGGAGATAGCCAGTGCAGCAGACATACAGAGGGTCTGTTTAATATGTCTAGAAGGGAAGTTTCGAGCCAGCTTGTGAAGGACTTTAAATACAAAACAGTGGAGTTTGTATTTGACCCTGGAAAGACTAGGGAGTCCATGGAGTTGACTGAGTCCAACCTGAGCTACAGGAATGTCACTGATGGTGAAGCTGCTTCCTGGTTTTTGGTGTGGCTAATGTGGACTCCAAGTGTGGAATAAGACACACCTTCAGGCTAATGTGTGGGTTTGTTCTCCCGTACTTTTGGGTTAATCACAAGGGGGTAGTGGTGAGTCTTTGGGATTCTAGAAAGATTTAAAGAGCAAAACATCAAAGCTCTGGTGAAATAAAGGGGAAAAAACCAGAGCCTGCCCTCAAGGAGCTCGCAATCGGATAGGGGAGATGGGCAGACAAGTATATACTAACAAGATGTGTGTGTATACATACATGTTCACATATTTGTTTATATGCATGTTTTATGAGGAGTATGGATACTTCATATATTATATATTTCTGTGTATATGTGCCTATAGATATATATATGTATACATGCATATTTGTATATGTTGTTCAGTTGTTTTTGGTCATGTCCAACTCTTCACAATCTTCTGGGGTATTCTTAACAGAGATATTGGAATGGTTTGCCATTTCTTTTTCTAGCTCATTTTACAAGTCAGGAATTGACTTTCCCAGGGTCACATAGCCAGTAAGTGTCTGAGGCTGCATTTGAACTCAGAAAGAGTCTTCCTGATTCCAGGTCCAGTCCTCTATCAGTACACATACTCTTTCTCTCTGTCTCTGTCTCTGTCTCTCTCTCTCTCTCTCTCTGTCTCTCTCTCTCTCTCTCTGTCTCTCTCTCTCTCTCTGTCTCTCTCTCTCTCTCTCTCTCTGTCTCTGTCTCTGTCTCTCTCTCTCTCTCTCTCCCTTCTTTCCTCCCTCTCTCTCTCTTTCTCTTTTTCATTCTCTCTCTCTCTCTCTCTCACACACACACACACACACACACACACACACACACACACACATTCCATACCTTCTCCAGCAGACTGTCTACTGGCTCCTTTCCTACTTCTTATAAACAGATCATGTCTCCCCATCCTTAAAAAACACTCACTTGCTTCATTTCTCTCTAATAGCTAACATCCCTCATCTCTCTTCCCATCCACGGTTAAACTCTTGGAGAAGGCCGTCTGCAGTAGGTGCCTCCTTCCACTTCCTCTCTGCTCCCT